TATTAAATTTATAGAAAAAATAATTTAAATGAGGAAGTCTAATAATTAAATATATGTATTATTACTTTGTGAATTTTACAAAATAATAATACATGTTCCAAAAATAAATTTGATTAGAATATTACAATTTACCAACCAATATAAGAATATACACAATTGCCTAACAACTTACAAATTACACATTCAATTATCATTGTAATTAATTAATCGAAAATTATAAATCCCCCCACACGCCGGGGGGGTGGGTAGGGTGGGTGGGGGGGATTTCCCCACGAAGCCCCGTTCATCAGGTCCGGCCAAGACGGGGATGGGATGGGAGTGATGCCATCTCCATGAGTCGGGGACAGTCATGAGAATTGTCCCTATCACCGGGGACAATCATGGGAGTGGATATCAAGGACAGAGATGGGAAACCGGGCCCATGCCCATCCCTATCGGGAAGTAGAGAAACTCAATAAAGAGCGTGAGCATCCAACCTAAGCAAAGCACAAGCACAACGTGTGATGGGGTGAGACCCACCAGACGAAAATATCTTCCCCATGCGGACTAATCATCTCACCATGTATACTTTGCATGCAGCGACCAGCAACACACGGCAGGACACAATTTACATGTGTTCTCCATGCACCTCAACCAATAGAAGACTTGCACAAATACCTATTGGCACAAAGGACATCATCATGAGCTACGACGTAAGAGCGTGTAAGCCTCCGGTCGTCGCACAATACCGACATCATGGCTGACGTACTTGATAATTCGTGGATTATACCGTTTTGATTAGACTTTTTAATCGGATTTCAGATACTTTTTAGTTCATTTTGACCTAAATTGCTACTTAATTCTTTATATTTTGTGTTTCAGGCTAAAATGGATATTTTATACAAACAATGAGCGAATTGGAGTTTTTGGACTCAGAAGTGAGCAGATCTGAGAAGTTGGGAAAGTTCTGAAGCAGAATGGAACACTGTGAAGCTTGTTTACATGAGAAGAGTGTCGAAGATAGAAGATTCACGCAAAGAAACAAGCGGAGGGCAATTCTGTAAATTCAGAATTCCACATGAAGGTTCGCCGCGGTGAAGAGAGTTACGCACGAGGGTTGAGTTCACTTCCTCGTCACGGCAAAGTCTGCGAATTTCAAAACACACAGTTTCATTTTACGCATTTTTCCTAGGTTTTTGGGTTAGGTATAAAAGAGAAACTTAGTCATTTTTATAGGGGGTTCGTTTTTCTTAGAGATATCAGCTTTTTACATTTTCTTAGATTGTTTTTGGGCGAACTTTGAATTCAAAGGGTGAAGATTCGAGATTAAACCAGTGGATTTGTCATTTGGGGAGATTTTCTTGTCTTTTCTCCTATTTCTATTATGTTGAACTTTAGATTTTTCATTTCTCTTATTTGTATTGTTGATTTAGCCATGAACTAACCTATTTTGGGTTAGGGTTTTAATGTAGTTCGGATTCTAATGGGTTAGAGAGTTGATGATTATTAATTTCATATGATTTTGCTTGATTGTGTGATTATTCTGTATTTATTGTTTTTATGTGATGAACATGATGAGATTGAGAGATAATTCATGTTAAGCTTCTTGGGTAATCACCATGGTAGTATTAAATGCTAGAGATAGATTTAAGAATCAATGAATCAATATAAGATTCTTGTGCTTAATGAACTATGAACTATTAGTCTTCATTTTGTTAGGTGCGAAAGTTTAATAGGAAAGAGTAAGGAAATATAGCCTGAGAAGGTATATTTTATACCTTAGTGAGTTCGATTTACAATCAATGCATGTGAATATGGAATTAGTATAATCCCTAGGTTTAACCTAGAGAGTCCGAATGAAGTCAAAACTCTACCCGTTTGTTTGAATTGATTTTATCCGTGTTTTAATTCTTGCTTCATAATTAGTTTGAATAGTTATAAATTTTGGTTTAGTTTAGTTTAAAATTCTTCCATAAATCCAAACCATTCGATTGCTCTAACTTGAAAACAGTAGAAAAACTTAGTGCTTAGCAACCAATCCTCGTGGGAACGATACTCACTCATCACTTTATTACTTATACGATTAGTATACTCTCTACATATTGCATGTTGTAGTTAACACGCATGAGTACTAGTCATCATAGTACTTACATACCTTCTCTCTATATAAAAGCTATCATGGCCAAGAGAGGAAGAGAGACACATGAAAAAGGGACAAAAAGAAAGAAATAGAGAAAAATAGGAGAATAGATTTCAATTCAAAAAAGGGAAGAAGAGAGAGGAATTCCAAAGGCTTTCTCTCTGATCCCAAGGTCTTCGGCCGTCTAGTAGGCTGGGATACGTTTTTTGATTACCGGAAAACTCATCTTATTGTATCCCCAAACACATGCAGTCAAATAACATAACAGTGGACGTAGGCCTTATTCCTTTTCCAGCCAAACCACTTTAAAAATGTTGGAACTTCTCTCCAGCTCCCCCACTGTCGACCGAGAGGCATATTATTGCCTTCGCCAGTCATAGCACGCAAGACGGGTCCCATACACTGGTTCCCAAGAACCACGCACCTATCTTGCTCGATTCTCCCAAGAGTCAATCGAGTATCTCAGGTAAGTGTGTTTCTTCATCTCAGCACTTTAGCCGATGCGAAAAATTGCATCAACACTCTCCAAATGAAGAAATGAGAACAGGCAAAAATTAACAGCAATGCTATTGTACCAATAACACAGTATGAGCTAGTAATAATAATTTTTATAAGAATTGAGGGAGATTTGGCCCTACCAGACTAGTTTCATTTCATATTCGGCAAAAAATTTCTAACCCTAGGATTTTGAAACCAAAGGGATGAGCTATGCCAGTAACGTTACTAAGCCAGTAGGGGAAGATGAGTCGAAGAAATGATGGAGAGAGTCGAGATCGTACCTATGTAAAAGTTGCAGCGAGAGTTCTGTACATTGTTGGAGTTGGAGAAGAAAGGACGACGAATTGGAAGTTGTTAGAATGAAGTGGAAGGAAGAGATAAGGAGAGGGGGTCAATTAATCAATGATTTGTCTGGAGATTTTTTTATATTTTTTTCCCCTTTATTTGTGTTATGGTGGTTGTCGTGTGTGTATATATATATATATATATATATAGATTTATAAGGAAGTATATCAGTTGGCTTTTTGGAACCATTAATGAGAACGGAAAGTCTGTTAAAGTGACTTAAATAAGCTGTGAATGTGTACCATACCAACCAAAGTAATAGGTAGGAGCTGCCACGTCACTCTATGATAGAAGTAATATGGCTATCATCAACTTGACAGATNAGAGAGAGAGAGAGAGAGAGAGAGAGAGAGAGAGAGAGAGAGAGAGAGAGTAGAACCTCTCTATAGTGATACTCTATATAAGAATAAATATATATATATATATAGTAGAACCTCTCTATAGTGATACTCTATATAAGAATAACCTCCATGTAGTCATAAAAAATTCTGGTCCCAACTTAGGCCAGTTATAAATAAGAATAAATTTTGTAATAAGTTATAGTTTTCTTAAGTCTCATCTTAAGGAACTTGCTTCTACATACTAATAATTTTATGTATATTATAAAAATATATATGTTACATTACATTAAATGTTTAAGATGAAATAAAATATTTATCTAAAGTTGTTTGAGAAAATTATTTATGTTTTAAAGTTGTTATCATATCTTTTATCTTGCGGGTACATAATAAGTCACCAACATGGACGCCTTCTTGCTGATGTCAAAATATTTCTAACTGTATGTTTAGAGCTTCTTGGCACAAAACTTTTAATATTTCCGTACTATATTTATCCTCAGGATTATCTCATTCATTTTGTTGTCTAATTCCAGTAATGATTTCTTCTTCAGTTAAAGCATATATGATTTGTTACTTATTTGGATGATTAAGGAAGATATTAATATCAATTTGATTAGTGTAGTGAAGTTATCAAATCTGATCACTCAATTTTGTAATGACTTTTTGATATCCATTTCCATACTATCATAATGCTACTAAAACAATGAATTGAAATCCTAATACTACTAAAACATGAATTATAAAATAAGAAACCAAAACAATACTTTTTTAATCAAAACAATAATTATTGTAACTACACCTCTATTAAATTGTCAAATCTGATCTTTAGTGAAGTTGTCAAATCTGATCTCTAGTGAAGTTGTCAAATCTGATCACTCAATTTTGTAATGACTTTTTGATATCTATTTCCATACTATCATAATACTACTAAAACAATTAATTGAAATTCTAATACTACTAAAACTTGAATTATAAAATAAGAAACCAAAGCAATAATTTTTTAATCAAAACAATAATTATTATAACTACACCTCTATTAAGTTATAACATCCTCATAATAATAAATTTAGTTGGTCCTAACATTATGATTATAGAGAGGTTCTACTATATATATAACAAAAAAATTATTTGATTACCTTTTTCTTTAAGAGTAAAAATGAAAAAAAAAAAAATCAATTTCTAATTGAATTTATCTCTCATTAGATTTTTGGATAATAATACCTTTATCATAATTTATACTTTAACTCTTCTCCATTTTCCCCTACACTACCTCTAAACAAATTAAAATTCTTATTAATAATATAAGTTTTACTCATTCAATCTTTTCAAAGCACAAAGCCAAAATTCTAACACTTTTGTGTGTTTAAATTTTTAAGCTTCTTTTTTTCCAAATATATATAGGTGTTTATTTAGTTCGTCTGTCTTTAGTTTTAATTTAACCGTTAATTATTATTATTTTTTCCAAGAAACACTATGATTAAGTTAAAAGAAATAAAAATAAAAAAAATCGATTTTGGGTCTAATCTAAAAAAAATTAATAAACTAATGCACTGTTGAAGGAGCTCCTGACTTATGCACCTCACAAGTCACAATGAAGCACATCTTAGTAAATAACTCTTAACATAATGACTTCATATAAAGTGTCAAAGCAGCCTTTCTATTTAAAAGACCATTTGCACATAATTGAATTTTTAGCTTATTTGTATGCAACTCTAAAGATGTAACTTGTTCACTTTGTACAGCTTAAAATATCTACAATCATTTCAAGCTTCGAATTCCATGGGCAATAGAAGCCTTTAGTAACTCACTGATATGCCATCACAATTATAATGATAGTATTAAAAGGGTAATACTGCTGCTTACAAGTAAGAAGAGCCAGGATAAGTTCATCCGACAAAATTTCCCAGACTTCTCTGTTGTTTGAACAATTGATGCCAAAAAAACACTCAACAACATATCTACAAATAGCCTCAGTAGAGCAAAGAACCCAAAAATTATGCATATAACAAATACTATGATGCCCTTTTTTCGCAAAGATACTTGATTCTCCATAACCTGTTCAACCTTCAACCTGCAAAGTAATAGTGATAGTCAGCAATTACGTCTCAAAGCCACACACCAAGATAAATAGCTAAGGTTGAAAAGTTATAATTATGCATTCAATTCTAAACTACTACCAATGGAATAAATAGGTATTTCGGTGTATTTCCCGAGATATCTAAAGGACCTCTCATCTTCTAACAGTAGATTTTGAATACTATGATACAGTGCAAATCACACATTTTATTGAATACTACATTTACACTTTTCACTAGATTTCCAAGTTTAGAATCTTCACCTCTAGAAATCTATTTATTGCTTACAAGCAAACTTTCATCACACGATTAAAATACTTCTCAATTGAGTAAAAAAAGAAAAAAAAATAAAAGGAAGGAATATATTAGAAGTCCATGTATCATATATCCCATCACACTTCCAGTCGTCCAAAGATATGCCTAAAATTTATATTGAACTCTAGTAAACTCCAGAAATTTTTGTTATTTCCTAAAGTGCACAGCATGCTTATTATTTTATTAAGGACATTCAGGGAAAATGTCGTAAAGGCATGAAAGGAACCTGAGAACGACATTGTCTCTAAGTAAAGTTTCCGATTGCATGGAAACAAGGTATTTCCAAGAACTAAGATCATCAATATGTTTAGCCTGCAAAGGGCAAGAAAACATAAAATAAGGAAATATAAGCACTGATAGAGGAAAGAAATTCACATACAATAGCCTCTTGGCTTTCGAAGAGATTCCTTATGTCTGATCTGATCTTCTCCAAAAGTTTGTCTTTCCCTCCTATATCTTCGTCAAACTCTTTAAATATATCACTATATCTTAAATTTAATTCTTCCAGGTATCGTTCCAAAACAGATAACTTTAAGTCCAGCGAACGTACTTTCTGCATCAGTATTTTAAGAACAGTATCTGCAGGCAACCTGCCAACTTGATGGCGAATTTCTTCAACTGGATCAGGCACAGTATTTTTCTTCATTTCATGCTTCACATCTAAGTTTTCTCCCGAAGAGTCATATTCCAGTTCTTTGTACAGATTTCGATAAAGATCATCACTCTGCAAGGACTCCTGTGGAGAGGATGGCGGTTTACGGTGAGCAGTCCCTTCATCAGGTATGAACACATCATCTTGAACAGAGATCAAATTCTCCAGTGTTCGTTCAATAGCATCCACTCCATAAACTTCAATAACACTCAATGTACAGTAAAATTCTGAGCCATAATGGCTCAGAAGGTTCAACTTCAGATATCCATTTCGGCTCTTCAAGAGGAAATCTCTGTGCAAGTTTCACATTTGCAGCAGTAAAACTTCTGTGCAAGTTTCACATTTCACAAGTGTTAATTAATGCTCCCCTTTCCCATATGCAATCAATGTTCACTGCCTCACATAAAGAAAATGTAATTACTATATCAATCCATTCCTTAACTTTCCATGTTTCAAAGATTTATAATATGATAATGATAACCTTCATTTCATGTATTTTATTCATATTGAATTTGATTTTATGAGAAGCTATCAAATTTACAATGATGCATCACATATACATATGGAGCTAAAACAGAGAGGCATAATGCATCAATTACTTCAATGGTATACACACAACACATACATATCAAAACTTAAAAGCCAAACAGCTCATGCATGAACTATAAAACAGTAATCCAAACAAAAACACTTGATCAGCATATTAATTTAACAGCAAAGGCGTTTTCCCCGAATAAATTCATATTTGATTTCTTTCGATCAAAAGCTATCCAATCTTTGACAACGCACGTCCAATACATATGAAGCTACAAAAAGGCAGGCATAATGCATCAAACACTCAACTACATAAGCAACTATTCATTCAAACAAGAAAGCACAAATCAAATACAAAATTCATCACTCAAAGCTTAAAATACACAAAACTTGATCACACTATTACCTCTATAACCATCACCACGACTGATCCACAAGCTCAAAAGCAAGACAAGTCCCCACAAAACAAAAACCAACGACAAAGAAACCTGGTAAACCCGATTCCATTTCCTTCCACTGCTCGCCTTTTCCACAGCTCTCCTATCAAGAAGAGCTCTACTTGATCTCTGCATTGCACATCAATTCTATTCACTGCCACACCCAAAGCACCAAACTTAAAAATTAAATTACCAAGATTGATAAAGGGTGTTTTTGCAAAATTCTAAAAGTGTGTTCTTCAAGAGACCTCTAGATGATCGCAGCATTGCATAAACACACAATTTAAACAAAGACTGATAAAGGGTGTTTTTGCAAATTTTAAAAAGTGTGCTCTGCGAAAGAGCTTAAGATGATCTCTGCATTGCACATCAATCTTATTCACTGCCAAACCCAATAAACCAAATCTTTAAAACTAAACAACAAATATCGATAAGGGAGTTTTTTGCAAAATTCTAAAAGCGTGTTCTTCAATAAAGAATAACTCACCTTAACAGCAAAGCAATGTCTACTCTCTTTTTTTGCCTTCTCCTGTTTGATGCTGAGATGACTCAAACTAACGCAAATCCAAAACGACCCATTCGGGATTTAACAATCTTCATCAATAAATCAACGGATTGGATCCATTACTGAATTAATATTAAAAAAGAAAACAGTATAAAAAAATAAAAACATAAAAACATGAAAAATCACCTGGAACTTGAACAAGTTGTAGCGTTTGAGTGTAGTTTCTTTTTACGTTAATGGGAACGTTCGAGACTAGCATGAAAACGGCGTAGTTTAAGGCGCTTATCCGGGTTCTTGTCCTGTGGCTTTATGGGTTTCTTCGGCGATTTAAAATTCATTCTCTCTCTATTGCTCTCTCTTTTGTAATTCACTGTTTTTGTTTTTGTTTTTGTTCTCGTTTTGTGGTTCAACTTCCGTGCCGTCGGTGTTTGAAAATAAGTGATTTCCTAGCTATTTTTTTACATCAATATTTATAAATAAATCTTACACAGATTTTAATACTAAGTGAAATAAAAATAAATAAATAAATATAAGAGTGAAATAAAAAGGCAAACTCATTATATTTCTCTTTCATTCATTTTTTGTCACATCACTTTATATAGAAATTTTTATAAATTTTTTTTATAAGTGTAACATTACTTTTTATACTAAAAAATAGAAAGTGAAATTGAAAAGAAGATTTGAGGGTTTATGTGTTTGAAAGCAAATCATATGGGGTGCATCAAAGGGGTTTTTTTTATAGAACTTTCATGAATTGAGATTTGAGATCTAGAGATTTCTTTAATTTGAAAATAATATTAAATGTATAAATTCTTATATACGAATTTATTGGTGAGGTCTATAAATTCTACAAAGAAATTTTACAAAGATCTCCATACAAAGTGATGTGGCAAAAAATGAATGAAACTCTTTCATTCATTTTTTGCCACCTCACTTTATATGAAAATCTTTGTAAGCATAGTATTATTGAAGAATTTATTGGTGAGGTGGGTCAGCATCTAGGAATGGCGAAGGTCTGAAAAATGGATCACCTTGAAGCGTAAATGTAAGATGACAAAGGTCTAAAAGTCAAGTCATCTCGAAACTTAAATATAAGATCTTTCATTCATTTTTTGTCACATCACTTTCTATGGAAATCTTTGTAAGTATAATATTATTGAAGAATTTATTGGTGAGGTGGGTCAGCATCTAGGAATGGCGAAGGTCTGAAAAATGGATCACCTTGAAGCGTAAATGTAAGATGACAAACGTCTAAAAGTCAAGTCACCTCGAAACTTAAATATAAGATTAATCATACAAAAGTGATGTTAAATAAGTAGAAGAGTGAAGTTATGTTATAACTTTGAAAAAAAAAAAGAATTTATAAAATTTTAATCATAATTCTATAAGATGAATAAAAAATAAAATTTAAAATAAAGTACTTTTGGTGGGTTTTGAGATATGTTTTTTACACAAGAAAGTGGAGATGATGAACAGAGATTAAGAAGTATGAGTTTGAAAAAATTTAAAATCATATGGGATTTGGTATAAACATTATGATGAGTGAAAATTTAAGGAAAATCAATAAATAAAAGTAAGGGTGGGAGAAATAGTCCAGAAACCAAATCGAATCGAAAAGCTAGTCCAAAACTGGACCGAAAATCCCTTTTTTTTATTAACCGATTCGGTTTTCGGTTTGTGAAATTCGAAAAACTGACTCGATTTGAGAGTTTTCCCAAACCGGTTAACCAATACCGATTTTTACCCTAGCCCTAACCCTAGGTATATAAACAAAACCAAAATGTGTTTTATTGTTTTTTGGCTTTTGCAAAATCTCCATCTCCAGACTCTATTTCCAACGTCTCCCACCACCAAACTCCATTACTCCTAACCCATCCATCTGTCTCATCACTCATCAGCATTTGTCATCACTGTCAACCATTCTCACCAGCGAACGGCGATAACCTCCAGTGACCACCACACAACCACCCAACAATGACCACAGCTCTAGTTCCTTGAACCACGAACATCATTGACCACGGCTCAAGTTCCACTTCCACAAACAACGAATGGCGACGACCACGACTCCAGTCCACTTCCACAAACAACGAACAGCGACAACCACGGCTCCAGTTCCACTTCCACGAACGACGATCGGCGACAACGACGAGCCCACAACCAGTAGTCCACTGCCGATTCAGATCTTCAATCCTCAACTGCTCCACGACCAGTAGTCCACCACTCCATTGCCGATTCAGCAAGGTAATGCATCTCTAATTATGTTGAATGTTGATTTATCTGTATGTGAGACACTGAGATGAATAAATAATTGATTTTCGATCTCACCATTACTAGTATTCTTAATCAAGAGACTATTATGTTGTTCATTTGAGTAATGTAAAAGTATAAATATACTTGCATCCACGATTTTTTTATGTCACTGAAATTTAGATTATGGTGTCTTTTTTTTTTCTTCAAAGCATTGGTTGAATTCAATTCATTTAGTTACTAATTTTGAAGGTTTTGTATGCTCCCTTAGTCCCTTGTGTAAAATCTGTGTTGAGTTTGTATTATGTTGCTCCAGGATCGTGTTCATATCATTTTGGATATGAAGCTTTGATAAGTATAGAACTTTGATTCTAGGTTATTTATATTATTTTTGAAGAAGACCCTTTTGAATTGCAGTAGTGGGTGGTGAAACTTCAATTAATACTGTTATGCCTGAAAAAGTAGGGTTAACGCAAGACCCAGTCAGCATAAAAAGTCAGAGCTTAGGTAGGTCTGCAGCCATTCAAAGGCAGCCACGTCACACAATGGCATGAACGGCACGCTCCTGTCAGGGCAGTGGGTGCGCGTCAGACCAGCCAAGAGCTAGAATGATTCCACGTGTCTAATCCCTGCACCAAATCGCGTAAATCGCTCTAGAAGGTGGGCAATGGGACATAAAGGAGGATTTGCACGGATAATCCCACCAACTCACAAATTTAGTAATCATAACCTTAATCCATCCCACTATAAATTGAGAGCTCCTCTCTCATTTGAGGGATTAGCTAATCTCTCTAAAGAAAAATAGCATTCTCTCTCTCGTGTAATCATTTGTAAGTCAGTCCGCTGAACACGACTTGGCCATTATTATTAATACAAAATCAGTGGACGTAGGATTTGCTTCTTTGAGCATCTGAACCACTTTAAACACTGTTCTCTATTGCTTTTACTCTCACTCTCTCATCCACGTGTGTCTTCTGGGCTAGCTCAACATTTCACACGTGCGTTTAGTTAGTGTCAAAATCACGCATCAACAGTTTGGCGCTAGAAGGAAGGCTTGATTTAGTATTCATCCTTAATCAGGAGAATCTCTAACTTACTGGTCCTACAACAGCAAATGGCTCACCGACTTAAACCTGAGCGAACCAATCAAGGTGTTGAGGAGATTTCCCAAGTATAGGAGGACACCTCTCTCGAGGTACCTTCGGTTCCGCAAAATGTCATGAGAGATATTCCTTCAAGTTCATAACTTGACCCGACCATCAGAAGCTACCTGGAGAGGTTCGACAATACTCTCCAGACGGTCAACCAAAGGTTGGACCGTTTGGATTGGGGCATGCCACCCAAATCAAATGAGGTGGTGCAACTGCTAAAAACGTCTATAGGTCGCACAAAAGCGCGGCAAAGGGCGATAGCCTGTGTCGCGAGCACTGTAGTGCGCCGAAGGAACGGTAAGCAAGTGGTGAAAAACGGGCCTAAAGGCTCCAAAGGGCCGACGAACACCGACCACGTCCCGAGTAGAATACCTGTGGCGTTAAGACTCGGTGAAAGGTCACAGCCTGAGCTGTCCCATGCCATGTCGCATGCGCACCCCCATAAAAGTGTTGGGCGGGGCGATTCTTATCACCGCCAGAAAAACGATCCTGATCGTCATCGTGCGAGAGGTTCCCACACTTCGCAGGGCAGTTCGTACCACCGCGGAGGTCGTGAAAATTCTCCGCACCATTCATCGCCATCACACGACTGTAGCCAGCGTGTGTCGAGAGCGGCCGGAACTGCCGGCCGAGGCGAAGAGGAATCTGACCTCCGGACTTTCCTCAATCGCAATCGGGAGGGACGAACTCGTATTGGCGAAAGCAATCCCCAAATAGCTCCACTGCCTCAGATTGAGGAGCTACAGCAAGCTCTAGATCAGCTAAAAGCTCAACAAAATGAGCAAGGGTAGGTTGCATCAGCGTCTCCCTTTTCTCCGACAGTGTTAGCTGCCCCACTCCCATCAAGATTTAAAATGCCCGATATGCGAGCGTTCGATGGAAATTCTGATCCATAGGATCACTTGTATGAATTCAATGACCTGATGGAGCTTCACCAGGTTTCAGATTTGGTAAAGTGCCATTATTTGGCAGTAACTCTAACCTCCTATGCCAAACGGTGGTTCAAGTCGCTCCCAGCGGGATCGATTAGTTCGTGGCCTCAAATGAGCGCGACGTTCCTAAGGCATTTCCAAGCAAACTGAAAGTTCTCAATTCCTTTAAGCTACCTCAGCAATATAAGGCAAGAAAGGGACAAATCCCTCCAGTCTTACATCGATCGATTCCACCGAGAACTTAATAAAGTAGCTCACACTCCCAAAGAGTCTGTTCGGACTCTCATCATAGCGGGAGTTCGCCCACAAACCAACCTGTGGAAAGAGTTACAGGTTGAGGATGATGTTTCCCTCACCCGCTTTTATAACCTTGCGGAGAAGTACCTCCATATTGAAAATTTCGTTGCGGTGCTCCATCGCTGCGACCCCGGTGCTTCAGGTAGTGCGCCTGGTCATGGGGAAAGTAGGAGAGTTAATCGCAGATGGGCTACTGATGATCAACGAAAAGGAAAGAAACCGCGCTATGAGCCCAAAAAGTTTTATGCTCCAATTCCTCGTCGCAATCAAGACAGAAATCAGTATACACCTTTGAATGCGTCTATATCGGCTATTCTGGACAAGTCGGAAGAGGCCAGCCTGCTCGGAGAGCCTGAGACCATGAAAAATCCCCCATCAGCCAGAAATAGTAAAAAATACCGTCGCTTTCATCGGATAATGGGCATCACACCGATGAGTGCCGAGCTCTCAAACAGGCAATCGAAGACCTCATCAAGCAGGGGCATTTCAAGGAATATATTGATGACTCCACTCCCGCATAAGAGAAAAATCAAGAGAAACCAGGAAAGAAGCGTCATGATCGCAAGGGTATATGCAGCGTCAATTTGATCTTTAGGGGACCGCACCTCGCGGGGAACTCGCGAGGTGCCCAGGAAAGATATACTCACGTAGCCCATCACGATCCCATCAGTGTGATGAGCACGACGCAGCGACCACAAAAGGTTCGCAGGGAGGAGAAAATTACCTTCTCTGAAAAGGATGCAATTAGATTG